AATCAAAACCTCTAAACCTGGTCAATAGTCAACCAGATCAGTTTAACCCACTTCTGTTTTACCAAATGGTTTTTACCAGACAGTTTTTACCGAATAGTTTTTACCAAATCCAACCTGTAACAAAACTCCAAAACTGTCTATAAAACCAAACCCCATTCATACACTCCAAGCCAACACCAAAGCATTAGCTCCATCACATACACAAATAGCAACCCACTTTTCTAGAGAGAGAGAGAGAGAGAGAGAGGAGAAAGTAAAACCAAGAGAATTAATCAAGGCACCCACCATTGAATGGCAAACCGGGTAATCCCAGCAGCATCAAAACTCCTGAAAACTCTCAGGCCACTCAACTCCGCCGCCTCCTCCACCACCATCTCCGCCATATCACCGCCAATCGGCTACGCCGAAAAACCGCTACAATCTCCCAGTGGTCACGCCATCACCGCCGCCGACACCATCACCGACAACATATTCAACCTCGATGACGCGGACAAGCTATTCGCCTCTGTCTCCACGCCGACGCTGCTGAGGGCCGCGCTGAACCTCCACGCGGTGGCCTTCGAGCCATTGGTGGACATGGGAATGTGGGTCATGAAGTCCAGGCTCATGGACACGCCGTTGATTCGGGACGTGATCATGGGGATCATACGGTACACGTTTTACGAGCACTTTTGCGCCGGTGAGAACGCCGTGGCTGCCGGGAGGTCGGTGCTCGAGCTGAACGAGGCCGGGCTCCGAGGGATGCTTGTTTACGCTCTGGAGTACGCCGGCGATAACGACTCTTGTGATCGGAACTTGCAGGGGTTCTTGGACACCGTTGAAGCCACCAAGTCCCTCCCTCCTTCTTCCGTAAGTTCTTCACATCACCAATCAATCCAAAAATCATGTTTACAAGATTTATTTTTCTTTATTTTTGTTTTTGTTTTTGTTTTTTATCATCTCAAGAATTCAAATGGTAAATTTCCAGTTTAAGGATTTTTACTGTTTTTAACTTTTAAGTAACTATTCGGAGATGAATTAGGTCAATTGGTTCAGGCGAGCCAGAAAGTCTGCCTTCCTGTAACCAAGTTCAAATTCTCCTTGTAGATAGAGATTAATTTACGGTAATATCGCTTTTTAAAAAAATTAAATAATATTTTAACTAACCATGCAAAATCTCTGTAACAAGAGGTAAGACCTACTTTTGCGATTTTCAATTTAAGATAAAGACGAGATTTAAGATGGTACAACTGGATGGTGTTACAAAGACGAAGTAGAGGGTGCCACGTAGGATCGCAGATCCTACTTTGTTTACTTATGCCACGTGGTTGTGACATGGACCACACCTATGTTGTATCTGGGCTGTTTGTCACTGGACCTGGTTTTGTAGGTCTGCTAGTTGTCGGTTGCCACTTGATTTACCAACTAAATATTACCTGGCTGGTTACAGAGAGAATTCAAGATGAGAAAAATCTGGACCCAGCTGACTGTGTCTTTCGTGTTACCAGTTGTTAAGACTGCCATGATTTTCACAATCACAAATGGAACAAACACTAGAAGTTGTTCGAAAAAAACAAAACGCTAGATGTTTGGTTTTTCTGTCAACATCTTAGTTCACACCAATTCCTTGTGAAGTTTGGTTTGGTTTGGTTTGGTTTGATTTGATGCATGGTGGCTGATAACGATGTTTTTGGCTTGTAACAGGTGAGCTTTATCATTATGAAAATCACAGCAATTTGTCCCATGAGGGTGCTTGAGCGTGTCAGTGACTTGCTGAGATGGCAACACAAAGACCCTTCTTTTAAGCTCCCATGGAAGCTCGATACCCTCCCCATTTTCTCTGATAACAGCCCTCTCTACCACACCCTTGAAAAGCCAGAGCCTTTAACTCCAGATGAGGAGCGGGATCTCGAATTAGTCCACCAGAGACTACTCAAACTGTCCCAGAAGTGCTCCGAAGCCAATGTCCCTTTATCCGTTGATGCGGAGTACTCGTCGGTTCAACCGGCCATCGATTACCTGACGTACTCTTCTGCGATCATCTACAACAAAGATGACAACCCGATCGTTTATGGGACTATACAGGCTTACTTGAAGGATGCAAAGGAAAGACTGCTGCTGGCAACAAAGGCTGCAGACGACATGGGAATTCCAATGGGGTTCAAAGTGGTGAGGGGTGCTTATATGTCAAGTGAAGCCAAAGTAGCTTCTTCCTTGGGGTATAAGTCTCCTATTCACGATAGCATCGAGGACACTCATGCGTGCTACAACGATTGCGCTTCGTTCATGCTTGAGAAGATTGCCAATGGCTCTGGTGGAGTTGTTCTTGCAAGCCATAATGTTGAATCAGGTAAAGAAAATCAAACACTTGTGTTAAAACTTGCAGAAAAAGGCCAAACTGCATTCTTGAGCTAATATGTCTGATGTAAAACGTTGAACACAAATAGGGAAACTGGCAGTGGCAAAAGCACATGAAATCGGGATTGGGAAGGTACGCCAGAAGCTTGAATTTGCACAGCTCTATGGAATGGCGGAATCGCTTTCCTTTGGTCTGAGAAATGCAGGGTTTCAAGTGAGCAAGTACATGCCATTTGGGCCAATAGAGTTGGTGCTGCCTTACCTTCTGAGGAGGGCTGAAGAGAACAGGGGACTTTTATCTGCTTCAACTCAAGACAGACAACGCACAAGGTAATTTAAGTTTGGGTAAAAAAACTTCTGAACTTGTAGCTTAAAAGGTTGGTTTTATTCTAATTCGGTTTGAACTTCTTTTGAATTCAGGGAGGTGTTGAAAAGGAGACTAAAAGCAGCAATCTTCTAAGGCAAAAAAACCATTTGGCTCCACCAATCTTGTAAATATAGGGTAATTTGTAATTGTGGTGAATTGCTGAGAGTTAATGGAATGAATATGTGCATATAGGAAATAGGAAATTTGGGCTCTGTTTTCCTCATTACATTAGGTTGTACTCCCCGGCAACAGGTCCAAATTTGCTTCCTAGCTAGCTACTTCAATGGCAATCCACCAGCGCGCTGCCCTATTGATTGTGTGTGTAAAAGCATGCTGCTTCCTTCAGCAAACGGAATAAAAAAATGAATTTGTGTTGCTTCCAAATTACCTGGATTGGTGTGGCTGATGTTTGATTGACTAGGAGTCTACAAAGACTTCAATATTAAAAACGAGGGAAGGGGGAATTCGAATTTGGGTGAAAGGGAGTCCTTGCCGACTGGCCTAACTGGCGTCTGCAGAAGACTACAAAATTAAAACACATCCATCCATGACTCAAATTCCCAAAAACATGGAACCTTGCTGTCAAGGACAATTAGGAGTGGCTCTCGGTGATCGAACGTCTTTTTCTCATATGTGCAAAAGTTGACAGGCATGTTTTATGCATGCGCGGTGGGGCTTCAATTTTCAACCCTACAATTTTTGTTTTTAAATTTATATATTTAATCACACAAGATAAGGTTAAAAAAGTCCTAGACAATCACGCTTCCCATTTATTGCCAACAATTATCATGGAAGAATCCTGAAGATATCATAGTTTATTCTGTCATATTGGCAAGTTAACGTCCCAGTTGATGCTCGTGTTCATAATTTAATAAGACCATAATGCAAATTCTAGCTGGAAAATAGTTCATGTGTATGTAAAGCATGCCAATTTCCCATTTGAGTCACATGGTATGCTGTGCATTATCTTGGCATTTGCATCTACTTGATACCTGATTGCCACTCTGAAGTTTCCTCAGCATTGAAATTTTTATGACAGTGTGCAAATAGTGATCCTAGTTGATTGGCTTTCCAGCTCATAGCAGGAAGATTAGGGTTCATTTTCAGTACTCTGGGAGAGAGAAAGGTCATGGTGTCACATAGAAACAAAATTGAAAAATAAAAAAAGAAGGCAAAATTGACTGAAACACATGAATAGCATTGAAATGTCTAATATGAGAAGCTTATGTTGAAAGAATCAAAGGGAATCTTTGAAACTATGGCATGTTGAAAGAATCAAAGGGAATCTTTGAAACTATGGCTAAATGGAATATTAGTGGGTGTCAAAATCACACATAATATTCCAATAAACTGGGAAACTATAGGTCTTAATCATACCTTAGGTTGCTGATGACTGGAATTGCATAACACAACCCACTTGGAAACTGACATCAAACCAGACGTGAACCAAACATCTTTTCGTGGACAAGATAAACTCTGATTGCAAATTCAATTGCATCATCACTACCTTCTGCAATTGCTGATAACCACTTCTACGTTACTATTGACAGGGAAAATTCCACAACAAGGTGGAAAAAGAATCCTACGAATGTAAGCCAGATTTAAAAGCAACATAGGATGTCAAATTGTAAATCAAGAGAGCCGAGGGTTCTTGAAAAATGATGAGAAGGAACCGCAGAGATTGTGAAACAAGCTACCATTAGTATTACTTATTTGGCCTTCAACATGACCAGTAAAGGATCAAACAATATGGTTGACGATTTGATTCAGTGAGCACTACGGTCAAACATCTTCTTGTTGCCCAAAACTTAGATGTCAAAAGCTGATCACATCAGTAAAGCAAGCCTTGTGAACTTGCACAAAACTTAGTTGTCAACTAGTTTTCATAAGCTAACATTCAGGACATTTTTAGCAGTGTCGATTCAATATTAACCTGAAGTTGATAATAGCTCCGGTAAACTGATTTTCAGTATTATATCGCTGCACGGGAACAGCAGTTTAGTTATTGAAACTTGGATGAACTTGAGCGGCTACAGACTGATGGACAACTATAACTATGAACATTCACTCATACGTCTATGAATCACTAAATACCAATTACCTTGTTTTGGTTTTTCGCTTTTCTTACTGCCCCATCCCACACCATCCTTACCATGTGAGCGAAAGCCCAGGATGGGCCAGTGAAAGTAGTTCGTGACGGAACATGCAGGCAAGTTTAGAGCATGCAACTAGATGCTAATTCCAGCATTCATATGGATATTAAAATTAATCATTCTCAATTATTTCACCAGATATATCTCAGCAAATGATGACAAGTATAAATCAAATTTCTAACTCATGAAAAATTTATTAATCTCAATCATATTGTACCATATAATTACTACAAAAACGTATGCACATACTTAACTCAGAGCTTGATATCCTAGTGGCCCTGGCAATCCATCTTGTCTTGTGTTATTCTTTCCCATCAGAGAAGGCATCCATGGGAACATTTTCCCAAGCTCCTTGCTAATAGTACTAGGTCTAAGTTGCTTATCATTGATTCCAAACTTTGCTCTTTCAATTGCTTCCATGACATCTTCTCTGGCCACAGTTTCACCACCTAGAAAGATTAATATGGAATTATTGGTTACCGCAGTACTCTTCTATAAGTATCTTTAGCATAAACAGTGCATTATACAGTAAGAAAGGCACAAATAAAATGGCAGGGGAACAAAGAGGAAAGAAAGAAGGGCCGGTCTAGGCTCTGGGAGAGCAGGTGCGAGTAGGAGAGAAGGTGATGCCAGATAAAATGACTCTTATTCATGGTAACCAAAATTTAATCATTGGACCCAAAAAGGAAAAGAAATGAAACAAAAACTTAATGGAAACCCCAGCCACATTTTTAAAAGCAAAGTCTCCGATCTTACAAGCAAGACAAATGAAAATTTTCAGATAGCAAAAACCAAGTGATAATTTGGATGTGAAATATACTTCAACCTACCTCTACGAGCAGCAAGTAAAGCAGCTTCATTGACAATGTTTGCAAGATCAGCACCCACAAAACCTGGTGTCAGAGAAGCAATGAGGCTGCAAATAAGATTACTGTCTTCCTCCAAAGGAATTCCTCTCAAATGTACAGCCAAAATCTTTCTCCTTCCTTCTTCGTCCGGTTCTCCTACAACTATTTTCCTTGAGAAGCGGCCTGGCCTACAGAGGGCAGAATCCAATACTTCAGGCCTGTTTGTTGCAGCAACAACAATCACCTTCGAGTCTGACTCAAATCCATCCATTTCTGTCAGCAACTACAAGGACAGGAACAGTTTTTTATGAGAAAAATACCTTTATTGAAAGTAATAGAAAGTAAAAACGTATTTTTCCACTGAAATCCAAATCTGAGATCTAAAAAAAGAATACCAAAAAGCACAATAATATGGTTATTACTGCCTTATACTCTTCTGCATAACAGCAAGGATAGAAACAGTAAACTAATTTAGAGTGTCGATTGCTATTTAGACTTGAGAACTGAAGACAAAAATAAGGCAAAAATGATAAATTCACAATAAATAAGTAAAAAACGTTGACAAGCCTTTTAAGGGGATCAATTTGATTCTCTGAAATCAAAATAAAATCAAACATGAGAACAAAAAGAATTTCCCAAGTACTGCAGTGATTTTGACAATTATTAAAACTGTTTGAAAATATAAATAATGGTCTATGAATCAAATTACACATTAACAATTCCAGAAGACATTAGGAATGATCACAATATAGTGAATTTGGATATTGATGGGTGCGAGGGATGCAGGATGCAGGCCAGAATTGAACTCAGATTACCTGATTCAGCGTTTGGTCACGCTCATCATTGAAACTTCTGCCACGCTTTGTTCCAACCGCGTCAAGCTCATCAATGAATATGATCGATGGTGAATATTTCCTTGCCATATTAAAAAGGTCTCTAATGCGAGCTGCCCCTCTTCCAACAAACATCTCCACAAATTCACTGGCAGAAACGGTGAAAAATGGTACACCTGCTTCTCCAGCCACTGCACGGGCAAGTAATGTTTTCCCTGTTCCTGGAGGACCCACCAGCAATACACCTCTAGGTAACTTTGCTCCCAGTTTGTTATAGTTAATAGCTCCTTGCAAGCATAAAACTATCTACAAGAAAGAACTATATCAACTAAATGAATGAAGAAAATTGTATAACTAGTCAGCAGATAACCACATATGCAAAGAAGGCAGTAAAATTCACTAAGGCAAAAACATCATAGCTCTTGAAAAAAAAATTGAAAAAAACACACAGGTGGGACCAAAACTTAGAACGACATACAACTTAAAGAAATGCGCAGATACCTGACATATGTTGTTCATTTCATTTGTTTTTCAACCAATTTTCAAAAAATGAGAAACATCCACAAGATTATATCTAAATAAACAGATATGCAAGCTGCACGAGCCAGCACCACGTGTAAAGAGGCTTGCTGCAAGCCTTGGGAAATCTTCCCAGCACCTGAGCTGGATAAAATTTTTGATTCATGATGTGACAAAATTTTGTAATTAAAAGAACTGCACACCTAGTTTCATGAGGATATTGTTGGAAAACGGTGTGACATGGGCAAAGGGTACTATATACAATAGCGAAGCAGTTGTTAAACAACCCCAGCCACATTTTTAAAAGCAAAGTCTCCGATCTTACAAGCAAGACAAATGAAAATTTTCAGATAGCAAAAACCAAGTGATAATTTGGATGTGAAATATACTTCAACCTACCTCTACGAGCAGCAAGTAAAGCAGCTTCATTGACAATGTTTGCAAGATCAGCACCCACAAAACCTGGTGTCAGAGAAGCAATGTTCTACATTTATACCTAAGAACAGATAGATTCATCTTCCTAGTCTTCCTAACTTGTATCCTCAGGAGCTTAAACCAAGAGCTTTCTAGCTTTCTTGGAGTACATTGAGGCTGCAAATAAGATTACTGTCTTCCTCCAAAGGAATTCCTCTCAAATGTACAGCCAAAATCTTTCTCCTTCCTTCTTCGTCCGGTTCTCCTACAACTATTTTCCTTGAGAAGCGGCCTGGCCTACAGAGGGCAGAATCCAATACTTCAGGCCTGTTTGTTGCAGCAACAACAATCACCTTCGAGTCTGACTCAAATCCATCCATTTCTGTCAGCAACTACAAGGACAGGAACAGTTTTTTATGAGAAAAATACCTTTATTGAAAGTAATAGAAAGTAAAAACGTATTTTTCCACTGAAATCCAAATCTGAGATCTAAAAAAAGAATACCAAAAAGCACAATAATATGGTTATTACTGCCTTATACTGTTCTGCATAACAGCAAGGATAGAAACAGTAAACTAATTTAGAGTGTCGATTGCTATTTAGACTTGAGAACTGAAGACAAAAATAAGGCAAAAATGATAAATTCACAATAAATAAGTAAAAAACGTTGACAAGCCTTTTAAGGGGATCAATTTGATTCTCTGAAATCAAAATAAAATCAAACATGAGAACAAAAAGAATTTCCCAAGTACTGCAGTGATTTTGACAATTATTAAAACTGTTTGAAAATATAAATAATGGTCTATGAATCAAATTACACATTAACAATTCCAGAAGACATTAGGAATGATCACAATATAGTGAATTTGGATATTGATGGGTGCGAGGGATGCAGGATGCAGGCCAGAATTGAACTCAGATTACCTGATTCAGCGTTTGGTCACGCTCATCATTGAAACTTCTGCCACGCTTTGTTCCAACCGCGTCAAGCTCATCAATGAATATGATCGATGGTGAATATTTCCTTGCCATATTAAAAAGGTCTCTAATGCGAGCTGCCCCTCTTCCAACAAACATCTCCACAAATTCACTGGCAGAAACGGTGAAAAATGGTACACCTGCTTCTCCAGCCACTGCACGGGCAAGTAATGTTTTCCCTGTTCCTGGAGGACCCACCAGCAATACACCTCTAGGTAACTTTGCTCCCAGTTTGTTATAGTTAATAGCTCCTTGCAAGCATAAAACTATCTACAAGAAAGAACTATATCAACTAAATGAATGAAGAAAATTGTATAACTAGTCAGCAGATAACCACATATGCAAAGAAGGCAGTAAAATTCACTAAGGCAAAAACATCATAGCTCTTGAAAAAAAAATTGAAAAAAACACACAGGTGGGACCAAAACTTAGAACGACATACAACTTAAAGAAATGCGCAGATACCTGACATATGTTGTTCATTTCATTTGTTTTTCAACCAATTTTCAAAAAATGAGAAACATCCACAAGATTATATCTAAATAAACAGATATGCAAGCTGCACGAGCCAGCACCACGTGTAAAGAGGCTTGCTGCAAGCCTTGGGAAATCTTCCCAGCACCTGAGCTGGATAAAATTTTTGATTCATGATGTGACAAAATTTTGTAATTAAAAGAACTGCACACCTAGTTTCATGAGGATATTGTTGGAAAACGGTGTGACATGGGCAAAGGGTACTATATACAATAGCGAAGCAGTTGTTAAACTGTTGTACTACCCTAAGGAGCAATCTTATTTTAGCTCATTGACACCACTAGTATGCATTTTTTTGGCTTTGATTCAAGTTCTACGTTTATACCTAAGAACAGATAGATTCATCTTCCTAGTCTTCCTAACTTGTATCCTCAGGAGCTTAAACCAAGAGCTTTCTAGCTTTCTTGGAGTACATAACTATAACAAACAGAGTGAAGGATATCCACAGTTCCATAACAAGAAAAGTAACTAAATTACCTCATTCTCAACTCTATTGTCAAGTTAGCAATGCAATAAAGTATCAACAAAGAGAAATTAAGAATAATACATGGCATATTTAATTTATTCAAGAGAAGAGATGCTTACCTCCATAAGCTCCAATTTGGCAGAATCAACTCCCTCAACATCATCAAATCCAACTGACTGATTATCAGGTCTCCGCTTTTTGGCTGGGCTATTACCAGCAGTAAGTTGACGATAAAGAAGCCACATCAATGGCAGCAAAGGAATCCACAGAGATATTATAGTTATCAAAGTAGTCCTCATTGACATCAACACTGATTGAGGAGCCGAGCTATAGGTAATTCCTTTCTCTCTCATCAAACTAAGTAAAAATTTCTCATCATGATCTATTTTTCTAGTGGAATACTGCCAGTCAGGGGTTGAAGCTTGAGTGACTGATAATTTTTTCAATACATTCGTATTCAGTGCTTGATCAGATCGAGAACCATCATCACTTGTGACCTTATTGGCCATTTTCTCTCCTTGTACGTTTGACAATTCTTCATCAGACAAATGAGTATCCCCAGCAATGCGAGAGTTTGTGTTATAATATATCCGACGAGATCCCTCTTCAAGTAGAACTTTCGTAACAGACTCATTTCGAAGGCTTGTTATCAATTCTGAATATGGAACCATTTTTGGAGAAGGCACTGCTGTTAACTTCAAAAACAGATAGCACAGCCCCAATGTTGCAGAAATTGAAGAAAAAAGAGTCACTCTTCTTACATTCTTTCTCAAGAAGGTCCCAATACCATTTAACACTGATCGAATTGTAACTGTTTTCAATCTTATAGTTAATAACCGCAACCTTGGGCGTAATCTTAAAGAAAATCTCTTCCTCAAAGACCTTAACTTGGTGTTTCCTTTTTTTCCCAAATGCATCTCCTTATTTGCACTGTTTGCATTTGTCAGTGGCTCAATTTTGTTGTAACAACACAACCCCTGTTTAGATTTACAACGATTATTGAATCCCTTTAAGAAAACTCCACTTTTTCCATTACTCAGTGGCCTAAGCTCATTGTTCCAGAGCAACCCATGTTGAAAGTTGCAATATTTATGATATCCCAACGAACGAAAAGCAAATGAACGACAACAAAAACCTCTATATCTCCCCAAAGACTTGGACTTTCCGCCATGAACTTCCAATTTGTTTGGAATAGATAAGAACCCAGTATTGCAAACAACAGAAAAACAAGCCATGCCACCTCTACAACAATACTTATCTATTGAAATACAAGAAGAAAACCTACTAACTGTAACAGGACCATAGCAACATTAATACAGAAACCTCATAAATAGGTGGAATTTGGCAAAACAACAAACCAGAAGAAGAAGAAGAAGAAGAAGAAAAACCTGTCAGAACTGTTTCACAAGCACAACCATAAAACCTGGAACATCTTGTGGGAGCAAGAAGAGTGTTAGCTAGTGAGTTTGGGAAGAAGAAAGCAGTTCCTGTGGACTCAGAAATTATCTCCAAGCCTTAATAACAGATATCCATATGTTCAGCTCTGATTGGTCCTTCTGTTCCTCTGTCATGGGTGTGGTTGCAGAAGATTACGCCTTGTTTTTTTTGTTAGAGGTGTCAAGCCCTTGGGGAAAGCCCGGACCTTTTAAGCTCCATTTGGGATTGCTTTTTTTGGTCAAAAATCTGCTTCACTTTAAAATTAAGTAGTTTAAGGTGTTTGGTAAATCTAAAATATCCCGATTATTTTAAAAGCAGTGACTTTTAGACAGCAGCTTTTAAAAGCAGACTATGGATTGCTTTTCAAAGCTGCTTCAAAATAAGCAAAGATGAGCCGTTAATGAATTTTTTTAATTCCCAAAATACCATCATTAATTTTTTTTTTAAAGACACCACCTCCACATCCAACTCCACCATCTCCATCACCACCTTCACCACCACTAACCGCCACAGCCAGTTGGCGGACCTACAGAGGCGCAAGGAGGTGCAGTTGCACCTTCCGTCGCCCGAAAAAACCATGGAGGTGCTGGATTTGCCCCTTTGCTCTCTAGCGTTTTAAAAGGTGCTATCAAGGCGCACCTCATGGAGTGCGTCGATCTGAGGCCTCCTGAAATCGCATCAAGGAAGTTACACGATTGAGGCATGCGCTGTGTTGCAGAGGAGTTGCAGAGTCGTGTTGCTTATGGAGGCTCTGGTTCACGAATGAAGAAGACAACCCCTTTTTTAATTTTCACAAACGACATCGTCCTTTGTTCATGTTTAATAAAACGCGTGTTTCAATGAAATTGTTTTATAAAAATCAAACTCTTCGGTTTTGGTGCAACCTAGATAACAGCAGTTTCAAGATTCATTATTTTGCTTCAATTACTTGGTTGTTATAATAAATATTTCATTATAATAATGTAATACCAAAAGGCTTACGCTCCCAATTTGAAGAAGCCCATCTGTCCAAAAAAAAACACAAAGAAGAAGAATCTGATTCATTATTTTGCTTCAATTACTTGGTTGTTATGATAAATATTTCATTATAATAATGTAATACCAAAAGGCTTGCGCTCCCAATTTGAAGAAGCCCATCTGTCCAAAAAAAAATTCCACAAAGAAGAAGAATCCTTGCACGATGCTCTCATATCACAATTTGAATATTAGAGTTTTTGTTTAATTAGAACTTGATTGACACAACTTGTTTGTTGATCTAATCTTTTTTAATCGTGATAATATGTTATTATTATTATTTTTGTATTTATTTTACCGTGCTAGTTAATCCTAAAATTATCTGAGGGTTTAATTCATTTCAAAATATGTTTTTTATTCAGTTCTTGGGTAGTACTAAAACATGACCATCATGCCACCACCGCCATCGCCACCACCATCTCATCCTCAACCTCCACCACCATCACCTCCACAACTACCATCCCCACCACCACTACCTCAACCTTCATCACCACCACCTCTTTCTCCGCCACCATCACCACCTCCTCCTCAACCTCCACCACCAACACCATGACCATCATGCCACCACCGCCATCGCCACCACCATCTCATCCTCAACCTCCACCACCATCACCTCCACAACTACCATCCCCACCACCACTACCTCAACCTTCATCACCACCACCTCTTTCTCCGCCACCATCACCACCTCCTCCTCAACCTCCACCACCAACACCATGACCATCATGCCACCACCGCCATCGCCACCACCATCTCATCCTCAACCTCCACCACCATCACCTCCACAACTACCATCCCCACCACCACTACCTCAACCTTCATCACCACCACCTCCACCACCACCACCACCACATTCATTTCCTTCTTCGTGACCACATTCCTTTCCTTCTTCGTGACCATCACCATCACCACCTCCTTCTCTACCTCTACCTCCTCCACCTCCACTACCAACACCACCACCACCACTCTGCCACGGCCACGGCCACCTCCTCCTTCTCAACCTCCACCTCTCCAACCTCCATCCCCACTACCACAACCACCACATCCACCTTCATCACCACCTCCACCACCATCTCTTTCACCACCATCTTCACCTCCATCTCTTTCACCACCTCCTCCACCACCATTACTACCACCACATAATTAGCGCATATCAATTTCAACAGTCTATTTAGTCATTATTCACAGTTACAATATTTTTATATTAAAATTTACCAAACGGTTTTGACACTACTTTTTGTACTAACATCACTTTAAAAATATTGTTTACCAAACATATAGCTGCTTTACTTTACAGCTAATTATTTTCAAAGCACAACAGAATCAACTTTTTTTAAAAGTGATAGCAATCTCAAACTGGCCCTAAGTGGAGAGACAACGCAGCTATCAACGACGTAACCTTTGATGTCGTCTTTACCCAACAAACCACGCGTATTGTTGTCGTTGGTTGCCATTGAGCAACGACTCGAACGCCATCTCTAACAGGAGATTCAGGTACTCGGGAAGGTGGCTTTTGTCCATTCGTTCCGTCATCTCGGTGAAACGACATCGTTAAAGGTCCGTTGATGTTGAGACACCAATATCTCCCGAATTTAAGGCACTTCAGAAATAATCATATCCCATGAAATTTTGATCCTACTGAGAGGACGCACTTTACTTTGATACTACAAACACGCGTAAAGCTCCTTTTGGTTTTGTGGAGGATAGAAACCACCATTCTTAGGACCTCCTCTATCTGAATCTTATTGATTGAAGCAGAAACCATTGAGATATGAGCTTTAACGATCATATCTCACATCAGACGAAGAAACAGAGGAAAACCCATCATTCACTGGCTTAAATTCTAATACCCAGGTTGGTTTTCATTTCTTCCTTTCCTTAACCATGATTTTCATTTGGCTTTTCAATTTTTGCCTCAATACATCAAGAAATTCATGGTTTCATTAGGATTGGTGTTGTGGATGTTAATTTTCTGCTTATCATTTCCTCTTTGCCCATCTGATTATTATGTTTTTTTGGTTGTAAATCTGGAATGGAATGTTGTGGTTCATTGCCCTGTTACTGGATATCCGTTTGTTTGTCCAAATCAGAAATGGCTGTTTTTGGATTATATGTGAATTATAGGTTTGGAACAAAGCTATGTAGTGATTCTTTAAGGGAGTAATATTATTTTTGTTGTATTGCGGTATCATTGCTAGAGCATCTTCTTATGTCTGTGTTTGTAGTTTCTCCTGATATGCATACCATTTGTTGACCATATTCATTGTTTGATCTCGTAGCTGTATCAATCATTTTTAAATCCGTGGCCCATATTCATTGACTAATGGAAGTTGTCTACTTTATGCTTCAATAGATTATTTTAAGTCGATACTTTCCTAGCATTGTAACTTGCAAGTCTTATTATCATTTTGGCAGCAATAGGTTGTTGTCATATTAATGGCTACAAGTTGTCATTGATCTGATTTTGAGTGTTTCTGGAATTGGGGTTGTTTGCTTTCTTGTAATTTTTGTTGATCTGTGATTGCAAGCAGTATCATTTTTTTTTCTTTTTTGAATAGAAACACTTTTTATTCACAAATGAATGGTTAAAATGATGACATTTAGGACACGGACCAAAAAGAAACACTCGCCAGATAAACAGACTCAAAGCCACTCAACACAGAAAACCAGCCAAACATAAGACACTCCTTAAGAAACTACAGCTAAAAGATTTCGCATAATTGTAGGATAGGATATATCCTTAAAAGCGTGAGAAGTTGATGCCCAGAGAGCAGCCCAAAACTTCACTCTTTCCCATAACTCTACCACTCCCACTCCCTTATAATCCTTGAAGATTCTCCTATTACGTTCCAACCATAGGTTCCAGACCACTGCCTGCATCAAGCTGCCCCAGAGAATTTTAGCCTTCTTTCCCCTTCCCAAAGCATCAAATCTGATGGAAAAAGATCAAAGCATCCTTTCGGTATTACCCACACTGTGTTAACTTCCTTCAATAACGTCTCCCACAACTTTAGAGAGAAAGGGCAATGAAGGAGGATGTGGTCCGCACTCTCCCCTGCCATATTACATAAAACACACCAGTGCGGACTAAGGCACATATAGGGACAGTGTCTCTGTAGTGTATCACCTGTATTTAGTTTTCCAAACACCGCTTGCCAAACAAAGATCTTAACTTTCGGAGGAGTCTTGGCCTTCCAAATTTGAGTGTGCGGAGAGAAAACCTCCATTTCACCCCTATTCTGAATATGAGTACAGAGAGAATGACAGGAGAAAACACCGGATGGATCTAGCTTCCATCTTCTCTTATCCAATCTGGAAGTGGCCAATCTCATTCCCTCTAATAAGTCCAACAATCTAGCCACCTCCACAATCTCTAAATCATTGAGATTCCTCCGAAAACCAAAGTCCCAAGTGAGAGGGGATCCAATCGAGTCTATAAAGGAGGAAATATTGTGGTTTTGCTTCCTGGACAGATTGAATAGTCTTGGAAACACGTCTTTTAGAACACCCCCCCGGCTCCAATCATCTTCCCAAAATCTGACTCTAACTCCACCTCCTACCACGAAGACGCAGCCTTGAAGGAACAACTCAAAACCACTAGAAATCTCTCTCCAAGGGCTGCGACTAGATCCTCGAATTGCAGGTTTGGCATCCCACCCATTTGAATCCATTCCATAAATACTTCTGATTACTTTGTGCCAAAGAGCATGAGTTTCGATAGGAAACCCGCCACAACATTTGGCCCGCAGAGCCTCTCCCCTAGCTTTCAACGAACCCACCTCTAATCCTCCAAAGAGTTTTGCTTTACCCACAACCTCCCAGCTCACAACGTGGATTTTTTTCCCATCCAAACCTTCCCACAAGAAATCCCTCATAAGCTTCTCAATTCTATTGGCTACTCCAATGGGAATCCTAAAAAGGGACATGTAGTAAATCGGAATACTACTCAACACTGCTTGAATCATTGTGAGTCTTCCCCCTTTGGATAAGCATGCTCTCTTCCATTTTTGTAATCTATTCTCTACCTTTTCCACAACGGGGTCCCAGAACCTGATTGCTCTGGGGTTCCCACCTAGGGGAAGGCCTAAA